TATATATATATATATATATATATATATATATATATATATATATATATATACTAAAGTATTATGCTAATATATTATATTAAACATAAACCGCCTCCTAGGCACCACGACCAAATGGCGTGCATTTAATTGAGAGAGGAGACAGAAGAAAAATATATTTAAATATATTATTTTTCTGTTTATTTCGGTTTGTTTTTCTCTGTCTTCATTCTTTATCTTAACTTGTATCTGCATCAATACAATATTATATTTATATTTATTTATACTTTTTCTTGACTATACTCAGCTAGCTATGCTGCTGATGCATGCATGCATTGGGGGCTCTGTACACAGACGCATGCTTCACCCAAGCCCCATTCTGCTGCATGCAGCTATCTTAACTTGAATTTTATACAACTGATTACAGCTTTCTTTGTTTTACAATAGCCACCATGCACAGAGAGAGAGAGAAAGAAAGGGGAATACATATAATAATAAGGTGCTTTTAAACCCAGTAAGTAGGGTTTAGGGTTTAGGGTTTAGGGTTTAGGCTTCACAGAGAGGGAGGAACACATCTAATGCTAATATACAAGATGCTGCTGATGCAATACAGCATTTCATATTCTCTCTCTCCCCCTTTCTCTCTCTCTCACTCTCCTTACAATATATATATATATATATATATATATATTATATATGTATCGTACTTGAATAAAAACAATGAGAGAGCAGTTGATAGACGCAGCTGTGTGCTGAGCATTTCATACTCTGTTTCTTTTTTTCATTTCCTATGATGCGATCGCTAGAAAAGAAGGAAATTCATAAAAAATAAATTTAATTTTAATATAATTCAAAAAAATAATAAATTATAAAAGTTTTTTGTTTTTATTATAACTGTAAAAAAGAAACTCGCAAGCAAAGAGTTTGCTTGAGCGTGGTCTCTGCAGCACCAGCGGAGTTTTTTCGCCGATTTAATTTAAATTTTTCAAAAATTTTAATTAATTAATTAAATAATTAATTTGATAATTAATAAAATAATATATTATTGAATAGGCAGCGCATACAGAGCGTTCTAATTCATGTATGAATGGTAAGGATCAATCAACTTGTATAGAGTATAATTTTGCACGTTGATCGTGAATCTATGAATTTATAAATTAATAAACTAAATTATGAAATTATTTATAAAATTTTAGAAATAATTTAATGAATAAATTAATAAAATAAAATCACCAAATGCAGCAGTTTCCTCTTGGCTCATCTGCTTCACCCGCAATGCAGAAGGTATATGTATACTACACGCTTCATGTTGTATTGAAACCGAAACGACGGCCAAAATGTGTTTTTTAATTTGCATTTTTTAAATTTTAATTTTTTAAAAGAAAAGAAATATAATTGGAAGGCTGAAAAAAGAAAGAAATGTATTGCGGCCAGTGCTCAGGGTGGTTCAACAAACAACACACAGAATGATGCATATTAAAGCATCAATAGAAAACTTTCGTTCGCGTTTAAATAAACAAACTTACTCTGGTATTTATTTTTATTGTTTTTTTGTTTAATTATTTCAAATATACTCTCAATCAATGCACTTTTTCTTTGGTTTCCTGCAGCCAGAAAGCAAACTTGAACGGCGATGCTGTGGGGGGCCCCGGGGCCCTCACCAGAGCAGAACAAGATCAGAGTGGTACAATGTTTTGATCGGTGGTTATTGATTCATATTTTTCCGTGTATATTTTTAGTTTTTTTGTTTATTTTTCCTGAATTTCGCTTTATTTCCCCATAAGATGTCGCAGGATGCAGAGGCTGGGGGCCCCCCAGGGGCCCCTCAAACACAAACAGATGAAGCTGATCCTTTATTAGATTCTGTAACAAAGGTGACTTCTTTGTGTCCTAATTGCGAAGAAAACGGCGAAACTTTGTTGCTGTTGCATAGAATACCTCATTTCAAGGATTTGTTGATATCTTCATTCAGT